CACTTGGAACTAGGTGAAAAGTTTCCATGAAGTTAGGTCAAAAACCTGCCTAAATTAGGGCAAAATTTCACTAAGTTATTTTAGTTCATGAGCATGTATTCACAAAATCATATCTTGAGATCCAAGCATCTTTAGGAAAAAAAATGTATGAAGCAAATTTGTAGATTTCATTGAGATCTACAACTTTCATGTTGATAACTTCCTTTGAATCATCTTGTATCATGGTGAGAATTTGGCTTAAAGTTGAGAAAAAATAAGAAATTTTCTATACTTAGAAAAATTTCTAAGTTAAGAAAATTTCAAATTTCAAAACAAAATCTTCAATCTTTGATTTATTGATGAACAAGTTTCACATTTTAACATATTTTGATGAATTGTGGTCCTTGGCACTTGAATTTGACTAAAAAGTCAAAGTTTGACTTTTCAGTATACAGTTGACTGAAAAATTCATCTGTCAATCCAATGGATTTGCAATGTTTTGAACCATGGCTTTAGGTCAAGATGATGCAATTGAACTCTTGAAATCATACCTTAATCTAATTGATCATTTGTTAGGTAAAAAAATCAGAAATTGCCCTTTCTCAATCAAAAACCCTAATTTTGACCATTTTGCCCTTTTGATGATTTGATCAAATTTCTTGAGGAATTGTAGTCCAAACTTGATCAAATGATTCATATGAGTATAAAATGTTGATGTGGATCAAAAATTATGAATTTTGACTGTAAATTGGCCATAATTGACTTTTTCCCCAATATAGTTGATTTTTTAGGTCAACTGCTCAATTGACTGATCAAAAGTGTGATCCAAGACTTGAAACTTGACATAAGTAATCTTGGGGGTTCATAATGATCCATGAAATCATATGGGGCATTGGAAGTCCAAAAATCCTTGTGCAATCTCAAACCCTAATTTTGGTCATCAATGCATAAGGAGGTGTCTTGAGCTGATCAAACCCTAGTGCAGTCTTGAGCCCAAGGAGATCTTGTGAGCAAATTCTTGATAAGTGAGAGGGTAAATTTTGGGGTACAACACTATGATTATGAAATTATACATCAAAATAAAGGGAATTTTGTGTAGATTTCACAACTTCAAGAATTACCTTAAACGAAGCTATAAGTAAAAAGTTATGGCTCGATGATTGAAGGCTGCTTAAGAAACTCGTACAACAAAGTCAACTTCATACCCCCAACTCAA